CCCCAAAACCCCAAAACCCCATGATGCCAAAAATGAGGTAATTAGATATAAAAAAATTTTAAATTAAAATCTCAATTAAGCTCATCACAATATTACTATATTAAATTATAATTATCATTATTTTTAAGCAATTCTCTAATTATGATAAAGTGAGGATTATCATTGATAAAATTTCTGAGCTTTTTAAATTATTTTTCAAAAGCTAGAATGTTTTCAGTCATCTTCTTCAACTAACTGTCTATGATAACTTTCTACCAAGATGACACCTAGTTAGTGAAAAAGTAAGACGTTATTGCTGCTTTAATTTGATTAATTCTGCTTTCTTATTAGTTAATTCCTTAATCAAAAGCTGAGTGTTATATAGTTTAGTTTTACATCATGATCAAAATGTCAAAGGCGAATCTCACCAATGACTTTACTTTTATTATTCTTGCTAACTCTAAATTATGTAGATTGCAAAGGCACAAAACCTTAATAGTTTTGAATAAGCATTGCAAATCCTGATGATCGAATAAAATTCTACAATTCTTATCGAGATATTGCTTTATTGAGATCATTGCATCTTCATAAAAAGTTCTCTCATATAATTTAAAATCTAGTACTCTGAGTATCTCTCTCTCTTTCAATAATACCTAATGCTTTTAAAATTTGTTATGGCCAGCTTCTTTGATTAGTTAGTCTAGAAAAATTGGTATAACATCTTCTAATTTTGAACTAATCCAAAGAGCTGCTAAACTAAGTAGTTGAAATTGTTCTATATCCTCCTCATAGTCAAGGTTATTAGCATATTTGTTCAAGTAAAACCTATCAATTATTGACACTGCAAGAAAAAATGTTTTATCATCACTTTTTTTGAAGGCTTTGTAGACTTCCAGAATCCAGTTAATCACTTTAGCTCATTATTTATTAGTTATGTCCTAATAGTCATATGCTATTAGTAAATCATTATTCTTACTCCAGTCTTCAACTTCATGCACTTTGTGAGCATTTATATTTTATGAGAATTTAGATTTCTTCAATTAATTATTGTGCTAATTATGTTCTTGAGCAAAATTATTTGCAGCATAAACTGATATTTATTCTATTGATAGTGTTACATTTGAGAAATTTCTTTTAGACTTTGGAGTAAATGAGGAACTCTCCGGAACATAGAACTATGATTTCTTGCATTTCTCTATTTTTCTCAATGATCCTCCTCGAAGCTAGATATTATTTGATGAAGGTTCAATGTTTTTATCGTAATATATAGGTTCTCTAATATTACTCTAATAATCACTATTTGTCTGAGAATATATGCTATCTCTGTTTCTCAAACTTAATGATTAATCATCAGTAATGTTAGTTCTCCCTTATATAGTTCCAAAAGATCGAGGTGTAAAGATTTAGGATTAATCAATTTTTATTGCTATTTCATTCCTCTGATATTAACATTTGAGACTAGGGAGTGAATCACATTAATATTTTGATTGTTCATTTTTATGAGATCCAGTTTCTCTTGGACTGTATCTTTACATATTTATCTTGGGAAGTAATATTCTCAATGAACTTGATTTTCTATTTTCATTAGTATCCAGTAATGCCTGAGCCTTAAGTTTAGATATTTGTTAGTTCATTCGAGGAAGGTTAGCCTTAAGCAGCTTTTTGTTAAATTATTAAACTTGATTTATATATTTATTTTTAGTTGGTAATTCAAATCTATTTAAGTTTATTATATTTCTGCTACAAATGAGCCTTGACGGGGTTTTGGGGTTTTGGGGTTTTGGGG